ACATTTTCAAAGGTAGCACAGCAGTCAAGGTACAGCCACAGCAACATCTCAGGACAGAATTTTTTGTAGTTAACGGAAGAAGTAATAGTGGGTAAATAAGAGCTAAAGAAGACCACACTCTTCCTGTGTTGACTAAGGGTGAATAGGACCATGACAAGACAAAGGCCACTGGAGAAGGTGGTTTCTGGAAATGGTGACAATGCATAACTGAGACACTGGAGGAAGTTCACCCCCTTCTTGGCTTGAGCAGTGCTTTAGTTTCCTGTAATTTTGTCTCTCTGACTTCCTCATTTCCATAAAAGACCACCCCTCTTTAGCATCACTCTGCATCTAAACGTCACCATTTCTTCATCTTCACTCCTCCTCTCCTGACCACAGCTCCTCATCTGGCGCTGCAGATTCTGTTTCAACATTTCAGGTACTGATGCTCACTGGAGGAATGCTGTTAGCTTCCACATTTTATGCTTTCAATTTCATTTTCCATTCCAACCACAGTTTTCCCTCCCGCCACTCACCTCCCTCCCAACCCACCATCCGTGCACTCCTCCCAACAGGGTAAGTCCTTCCATGAGGAGTCAGAAAAACCTGGTGGTGTCCAACTTCCTCACACAGAGCTAGGCAGGGAAGGCAAAAGTTGCCATGTCTGCTATTATCACTGTTCCTTGTGGCTCCCATCATGGAGATGACTGACTTTGGTATACAGGGAGAGGCTGGGACTTCAAAGTATCTATGCAAAGGATTATACACACCTACCAGAAAATGTCTCAGACCGGGACTTATTTAAGAAAATGGTATTTTCAAAACTGTATCAACCGCATCCCAGATAGTTCCTTTAAACACTGGGCAGCAAGGTTTTATAAATTAATAGAAACCTCACAATAAGTGTATGAGGAATTCCTAAGGTTTTTAAGAGTACAGAATTTGGGACATCATTTATATTCGATTATTTTTGCATTGTGGAACCTGAAATTCTGCTCATTAATTGTTGTTGTTGTTGTTGTTGTTGTTGTTGTTGAGTCAAATTCTATGTTCGTAGTAACAACTAAATCCACAAAAAGCAGATGCTCATATTACAAAACAGGGAATGTGGCAATTTGTAATGCAGGAAAGTTTGACAAGAGACTTGGGAAATCAGAAGATTCAGAGATAAGGACCCAAACCTCACTGATGGAACAACATGTCCCTGATATCATGGTCGGAAAAAGAGAGGAAGGAAACGTCTTTTAAAGTCCACAGCACGGTAGAGGATAAGAGCCCTAAAGGGCTTGCAGAAGAGCTCTCCACGCCAACATCTAGATCTTTTCTTGCACCCAAAACACATTGGATTCCCATATATTTTCTCACAAATGATTTCAAATACTGAACATTGAATTTTCTTGTAAAAAAGAAACACAGTGAAGATCCTCAGATTTCCTTCTCAAACATGGTAACAATGCAAGGCTTGTGGCCGTCTCTTCTCTTCACTTCTAAGTTGCATTCAGAGTCCTTCCCCTGCTGTGGCAAACCTCAAACAAAAAAATTCCAAGAACTAGGAGGATCACACCCGATATGCCCATCCTGATGAGGTTCTCCACTCTGTGGTCCTGGGGTTGCAGGGCTGGAAATTGTGGACAAACAGGTCAGGACCAACCAAAACCAGATAACTGGTTTTTGCCGGGCGGTGGTGGCGCACACCTTTAGTCCCAGCACTCGGGAGGCAGAGGCAGGTGGATCTCTGTGAGTTCGAGACCAGCCTGGTC